CTATAGAATCTTTATTTTGGAGTCCATTAAGGAACCACAGGAAGTCAAATCAAAGCCAAGTCAAATCTTCCACCTGCAGGAGAACTGGACAGGAAAAACTGTAGGTCAGCACAAGGTATAACCATCCCCCTTCTATCATCAGCAAGGCAATACCATGAGTATAATCAACACATAGGGGTGGGACCAATTTCGTGTTCTGCAGAATGCAACAGCAGATGCATTTGAACATTCCAAATCACAGCAAAGCAGTTGGGAGAAATCACCTTCTGTTGAACTAAAGCTGAACACGAAGAGGAAAGAAAAATGTCTTCAGGTGAAACACAGACTAACCTTTGGAGGAAAGGAATGTCTATGCCTCAAGAGCACCATGTCCCTATGCAGGACTAAAAATGGTTTCTTGCAAGAGAAAGTTGCCAGTTGAGACACTTATCCAGTGAAGGGGATAACAATGAAAACTACCTTAAAAGTGATTATAAAGTCTTAAACACCCCCCCCCCCCCCAAAAAAAAAAAAGTCATACCTTACCTGCTGTGTGCACGGATGTTGCACAGAGCAGCCCAGATCATCCTCTTCTTGGGTCCCCCGCAGGTGCTCCAGGCCCCTCCCTCCTGTCGGGTGCTCCCACAGCAATCAGCTTGCTATGGGGGCACCAGAGCGTGCGCACTCCCCAGCCGCTGCTCCGTATGTCCATCTCTCTGCTCATTGGCTCACTGGCTGTGACTGACAGCAGCAGGAGCCAATGAGGAGTGGAGGAGCCGGGATAGCTGAGACTCCAGTGCACATCACGATCAAGAGGGGGCTTATGCGAGTATAGGGAGGGGGCATGCCGCAGAGAGGTTTTTTACCTTCATGCATAGAATGCATAAACATACATCATGCGTTCAAAGGAGCTGTCCATGCAAGTAAAACAGGCCATTGTAAGGCTTCAAAAATGAAAAATCCATCAGAGAGATGGCAGCAACATTAGGAGTGGCCAAATCAACAATTTGGTATATTTGGAGGAAAGAAGAACGCACCGGTGAGCTCAGTAACACAAAAAAGCATGGACATCCATGGAAGACAACAGTGGTGGATGATCGCAGGATCCTCTCTATGGTAAAGAAAAAACCCATTCACAACATCCAAATAAGTGGACACTCTCCAGGAGTTGGGCATATCATTGTCAAAGTCTACAATAGAGAAAAGACTTCACGAGAGCAAATACAGAGGGTTCACCACAAGGTGCAAACCATTCATAAGCCTGAAGAATAGAAAAGCCAGATTAGACTTTGCCTTAAAAAAAAAAAAAAAAAAAAAAAAAAAAAAAAAAAACAGCCCAGATTCAGCCAAATGCAGCAAAGTTGATTGGACGGCACTTCACAGTACAGATGGACAATGATCCAAAACACACTGCAGAAGCAACCCAGGAGCTTTTGAAGGAAAAGTGGAAAATTCTGCAATGGCCGAGTCAATCACCTGATCTCAACCCAATTGAGCATGCATTTCACTTGCTGAAGGCAAAACTAAAAAGGTGGAAAGACCCACAAAGAATAGCTGAAGACAGCTGTAGTTAGAGCCTGGCAAAGCATCAGAAAATCTTTGGTTATGTCTATGGGTTCCAGAATTCAGGCAAAGCATCAGAAAGGAGGAAACCCAGTCTTTGGTTATGTCCATGGGTTCCAGACTTCAGGCAGTCATTGCCAGTAAAGGATTCTCAACAAAATATTAAAAATGAATATTTTATATTAATTTGTCCAATTACATTTGAGCCCATGAAAATGGAGGGATTGTGTATAAAAATAGTTGCAGTTCCTAAAATTTGTACTTGATATTTATGTTCAACCCCTTGAATTAAAGCCTTGCACCAATTTATTCTGGTGGCATACAGAGCCAAAATATGAAAACTTGTGCCCGTGTCCAAATATATTTGGACCGGTTAAGTCAGGAGTGCAGAACGAAGTGCACCCCAGTGATCCCCAGGAGAAGTAGGACCAAAAAAGCTTTGACCCAGATTCTCTAAGTTTTAAGAATTCCTGTGTCCCCCAAGTGAATGAAAAAAAAAAAAGTTTTGGCTGAGCATGCATTTTAACAAGAAAAATATGTGTTTGTCACCAGGTCTACTTCAAACTATTTTCACTTGATAAGAGTTCCATTTCATATAGAGGATTCCTACCACTAACTTCATTCTTCAAGACCATGCTTGTTAGTCTGGAAGTGAAACAAGCGGCCTTGTTCAGATGAACTTTAAAAGGTATACCTAGGGGACAGAAGGGTATATAGCATAGTGTGAAAGTGTTTACCATTCACCATTATTCAGAGAATGAATCATTGTACTGTATGTTATTCTGCTCAAATGCAGGCCATAGACTGTTCGTTTATCGGCTGATTTTTCGCCTGAAAAAAACATTGTTCGTTCTGTAAAACCGATGGTGCCACCAATGATAGCGAAAATTGGCCGTTTTTCACGCATTTTCCAGCATGACCGATATAAAACGAAATGAGGAGGAACCGCAAAAATCAACCGATGCCATTGCCCTACTAACAGTGCGAAAATCGGCCGATAAATGAACAGTCTATGGCCTGCATAAGCCTTGGTCAAAACAGACATACATTCTACAATTACCTAGCTGAGCCTCTTTGGCCATCTGGGTCTCATGGATGATGTTCCTTAGGATCTGCTCCTCCTGGATCAGTTTATGCTTCTCCAGAACCTCCTGCTGTCTCAGGTAATGGTCATGCTGCTTCTGATATTCCTTCAGTTCATTCAGAGTTCTCTGCAGAGACCTATCAAACAGAGCAAGGGGTGACCAGTGCAGTGTTGAAAAAGAACAGCTTTGGCTTAAGCCCCACATGCACGATGAGAATATCGGACAATTGTTCGTAATTTTTTTTTTTTCATGCTAGTCTCATATTGAGGAAAAGGTTACTAAAGTTACGAAAATTCTCATAGGACAGACTAAAAATTCAGAAGCGATGTCACGTATCGTAATGTATTCGTATTATATTTTCAGATGAAAACTATTAAAATGAAAAATTGTACGATCTGGTATCGTACCAGAAACATTTTCGCGCTTGACTCTTCGAATGAAAGCTGTGTTCCAATGACCAGATTATCGTATGATCATTTCAAAAGTGGTATTTTTTGTACGAATTTTTGATAGTGTGTACTAGGCTTTAGTCTTCTGTTCAGACGTGGCAATGCTGGATACGCTTTAAAAACCACAAATACCAACAATGTATTCATTAGAAAAATACCTTAGGGGACTGTATGCTTTATCATCACCCCACCTTCCCCCATATCTGACAAACAATGGACCCACTCTCTACTTGTATATTCAGTACCACCCTACTACTGTCTTCCTTCTTCCACTTTCCTCTCCTCTTACCTTGCCCTTTTTGGTCTTGTCATCCTTTAATGCTATGGACACCTACTGTCTGTAGCCATCCCTCATCTGTATTGCTCTTGACATATTGAAGGAGATTTACTGAAACTGGAGCACTCAGAACCTGGTGCAGCGGTGCATGGCAGCCAATCGGCTTCTAGCTTCAGCTTGTTCAATTAGGCTTTGGCAATAAAAGCTGAAAGCCGATTGGTTTCTATGCAGAGCTGCCCCCAATATTGCATTCTCCAGTTTTAGTAAAATAACCCCCATTGCGACAGAAATTGGGGTGAATGTTATGGGATCTAAGGGACACTTTTTGACTAAAACTTAATGAAAATCAATTTTTGATATTTAAGATCAGTGGTCTCCAAACTGTGGCCCTTTGTTTGCTTTATTTGGGCCCTTGGGGTACTATTCCATCCACTGACACCGACCACGGGGCACAATGCCTCCCACTGACACCGACCACGGGGCACAATGCCTCCCACTGACACCGACCACGGGGCACAATGCCTCCCACTGACACCAACCACGGGGCACAATGCCTCCCACTGACACCAACCACGGGGCACAATGCCTCCCACTGACACCAACCACGGGGCACAATGCCTCCCACTGACACCAACCACGGGGCACAATGCCTCCCACTGACACCAACCACGGGGCACAATGCCTCCCACTGACACCAACCACGGGGCACAATGCCTCCCCACTGACACCAACCACGGGGCACAATGCCTCCCACTGACACCAACCACAGGGCACAATGCCTCCCACTGACACCAACCACGGGGCACAATGCCTCCCACTGACACCAACCACGGGGCACAATGCCTTCCCACTGACACCAACCACGGGGCACAATGCCTTCCACTGACACCAACCACGGGGCACAATGCCTTCCACTGACACCAACCACGGGGCACAATGCCTTCCACTGACACCAACCACGGGGCACAATGCCTTGCCTTCCACTGACACCAACCACGGGGCACAATGCCTTCCACTGACACCAACCACGGGGCACAATGCCTTCCACTGACACCAACCACGGGGCACAATGCCTTCCATTGACACAAACGATGGGGCACGCCTTCCATTGACAAACGATGGGGACACAAATTCCTTCCACTGGCACCAAAGATAGTTCACGGTTTACTCCCACTGGACACAAGGACATGCTCTACTGCCACTGGCCCTAGTCTGATCCCACTAAAGTTTGAAGGATAGTAAACTGGTCCTTTGTTTAGAAAGTGTGGAGACCCCTGGTTTAGTTCCACCTCACCAGAAAGCAGCACTCACCTATGTTGGGCCTCCAGCTTCTGCTCCAGTTTTTGTTGGCACAAAACAGCCTTCCTCCTTTTATCGGCCTCATAGAAGAAAGGTCGTGATTCTAGTACGCGGTCATAGCACAGGACTGAGTGATTATATTCCCCCAACATCTATAACACCACAAGCAGAAAGAAAACATTTGTTCATCTGGGTACATAGCTGGTTTGCTTAGAAGTACAAACACTGGGGTGAATAATAAAAAAAAAAAAAAAAAAAAAAAAAAAAAAAACAATTTTTAGTAGTAATGTGTGTTTTTACATTTCTAATGGTGACACAATAACTACATTTATTTGACACGGATTCATCCCCGACACTTACTGCATATATGTTCCCAAGAGTGTAGTGGCTGACCAGGGAGTCAGTGGACACATCAAGCCCAGGAGATACATCAAGTGCAGCATGAACAAGGATAGCAGCATCAGCCGAGTAATGTGCACGGTGCAAAACATTCGCCATGTTCAGTAGTGCAATGTCCTTATTATGTCTGCAGACAGAAGACAGAAAAGGGCACTTTACAGAATGCAAAAAGGTATTAGAGCGCACAAGATGGACATGGACCACGTCCATCTGATGTCCACAATGCCACCATGGACCACATCCATCTGATGTCCATAATGCCACCATGGACCACATCCATCTGATGTCCATAATGCAACCATGGACCACATCCATCTAATGTCCATAATGCAACCATGAACCACATCCATCTAATGTCCATAATGCAACCATGAACCACATCCATCTAATGTCCATAATGCAACCATGAACCACATCCATCTAATGTCCATAATGCAACCATGGACCACATCCATCTAATGTCCATAATGCAACCATGGACCACGTCCATCTAATGTCCATAATGCCACCATGGACCACGTCCATCTAATGTCCATAATGCCACCATGGACCACGTCCATCTAATGTCCATAATGCCACCATGAACCACGTCCATCTGATGTCCATAATGCAACCATGAACCACATCCATCTAATGTCCATAATGCAAACCATTGACCACATCCGTCTAATGTCCATAATGCAACCATGGACCACATCCATCTAATGTCCATAATGCAACCATGGACCACGTCCATCTAATGTCCATAATGCAACCATGGACCACGTCCATCTAATGTCCATAATGCAACCATGGACCACGTCCATCTAATGTCCATAATGCAACCATGGACCACATCCATCTAATGTCCATAATGCAACCATGGACCACGTCCATCTAATGTCCATAATGCCACCATGGACCACGTCCATCTAATGTCCATAATGCCACCATGGACCACGTCCATCTAATGTCCATAATGCCACCATGGACCACGTCCATCTAATGTCCATAATGCCACCATGAACCACGTCCATCTGATGTCCATAATGCAACCATGAACCACATCCATCTAATGTCCATAATGCAACCATGGACCACGTCCATCTAATGTCCATAATGCAACCATGGACCACGTCCATCTAATGTCCATAATGCAACCATGGACCACGTCCATCTAATGTCCATAATGCAACCATGGACCACGTCCATCTAATGTCCATAATGCAACCATGGACCACGTCCATCTAATGTCCATAATGCAACCATGGACCACGTCCATCTAATGTCCATAATGCAACATGGACCACGTCCATCTAATGTCCATCAACCATGGACCACATCCATCCGATGTCCATAATGCCACCATGGACCACATCCATCCGATGTCCATAATGCCACCATGGACCACATCCATCCGATGTCCATAATGCCACCATGGAACCACATCCATCCGATGTCCATAATGCCACCATGGACCACATCCATCCGATGTCCATAATGCCACCATGGACCACATCCATCTGATGTCCATAATGCAATTCAGAAATCTGGAGGTATTCTGATGTCCATAATGCCACCATGGACCACATCCATCTGATGTCCATAATGCCACCATGGACCACATCCATCTTATGTCCATAATGCCACCATGGACCACATCCATCTAATGTCCATAATGCAACCATGGACCACATCCATCTAATGTCCATAATGCAACCATGGACCACATCCATCTAAATGTCCATAATGCAATTCAGAAATCTGGAGGTATTCTGATGTCCATAATGCCACCATGGACCACATCCATCTGATGTCCATAATGCCACCATGGACCACATCCATCTGATGTCCATAATGCAACCATGGACCACGTCCATCTAATGTCCATAATGCAACCATGGACCACGTCACGTCCATCTAATGTCCATAATGCAACATGGACCACGTCCATCTAATGTCCATAATGCAACCATGGACCACATCCATCTAATGTCCATAATGCAACCATGGACCACGTCCATCTAATGTCCATAATGCCACCATGGACCACGTCCATCTAATGTCCATAATGCCACCATGGACCACGTCCATCTAATGTCCATAATGCCACCATGGACCACGTCCATCTAATGTCCATAATGCCACCATGAACCACGTCCATCTGATGTCCATAATGCAACCATGAACCACATCCATCTAATGTCCATAATGCAACCATGGACCACGTCCATCTAATGTCCATAATGCAACCATGGACCACGTCCATCTAATGTCCATAATGCAACCATGGACCACGTCCATCTAATGTCCATAATGCAACCATGGACCACGTCCATCTAATGTCCATAATGCAACCATGGACCACGTCCATCTAATGTCCATAATGCAACCATGGACCACGTCCATCTAATGTCCATAATGCAACCATGGACCACGTCCATCTAATGTCCATAATGCAACCATGGACCACATCCATCCGATGTCCATAATGCCACCATGGACCACATCCATCCGATGTCCATAATGCCACCATGGACCACATCCATCCGATGTCCATAATGCCACCATGGACCACATCCATCCGATGTCCATAATGCCACCATGGACCACATCCATCCGATGTCCATAATGCCACCATGGACCACATCCATCTGATGTCCATAATGCAATTCAGAAATCTGGAGGTATTCTGATGTCCATAATGCCACCATGGACCACATCCATCTGATGTCCATAATGCCACCATGGACCACATCCATCTTATGTCCATAATGCCACCATGGACCACATCCATCTAATGTCCATAATGCAACCATGGACCACATCCATCTAATGTCCATAATGCAACCATGGACCACATCCATCTAAATGTCCATAATGCAATTCAGAAATCTGGAGGTATTCTGATGTCCATAATGCCACCATGGACCACATCCATCTGATGTCCATAATGCCACCATGGACCACATCCATCTGATGTCCATAATGCCACCATGGACCACATCCATCTAATGTCCATAATGCAACCATGGACCACATCCATCTAAATGTCCATAATGCAATTCAGAAATCTGGAGGTATTCTGATGTCCATAATGCCACCATGGACCACATCCATCTGATGTCCATAATGCCACCATGGACCACATCCATCTTATGTCCATAATGCCACCATGGACCACATCCATCTAATGTCCATAATGCAACCATGGACCACATCCATCTAAATGTCCATAATGCAATTCAGAAATCTGGAGGTATTCTGTATACAGTCGGTGTACGAAAGACTCCCAGAAATGTAATTTCCTGCTTGTGTGGTTGGCTTACTGATTGGTGGGCATGGGTACAGATTTTGAGGCCTCACCTCTTTCAAACGGAGGCCTCGAAACACGTATTCTATGCAAACATCATCAACGTGTGTTTGTGTGTATTTGTAGGAGTAGTTAATCAGAGTAAGTCAACTAAAGAAATGGTTTTGATAAAACTGCCAAATCTTACTCTATATCAGGCATCACTAAATGGCGGCCCGTGGTCCGAATATGGACCGGGTGACAGTCCCATCCGGACCATGGCCACACCACTCAGCAGCCTGAGTGGACTCCTCTCCTCCCGTCGCTGCAGCTGTTTGAAATCGGAAGGAATTGCAGGGTAGATCTCCACCCCACATGCACCCGCCTGCCACCACCGTAGTTGCTGCCACCACAGCAGGGAAGAGAGCGGGAGGAATGGAAGGAAGGACTACCCCCCCCCCCCCAATGCACCAACCCACCGTCGAACCCAGAGCAGGGAGGAGAGCGGGAGGCACCGCAGGTCCACAGGGGGAGTAGGGGAGGGGAGCCAACCTTTCATATTAACAAGCAGGTCACTCCCCTTTTAACAAGAAGTTTTGGCCAGCTCACGTGCTCAGTGGAGATCCTCTGTGCCTCCTGCCCTCCTCTCTTTCCTGCCCCTAGCCCAGCAGCAGCAAGCCGGCACACACCAGAAGAGGAGTTTCCTCCTCCCGCCACGAACCCAACAGCAGTGGCAACAACGGCGGTGCCTGTGAGCACATGCAGAACAGGAGTCCACTGCACCACTCCTCCATCCCCCACAAAGGTGAGTTAAGGTAGGGGGAAAAAGGTTGTGATGTCGGGGGGGGGGGGGGGGGGGGGGGGGAATGGGACTGTGATATGGGAGAGCTGTGATGTAGGCGAGCTGTGATATGGGGGGCTGTGATGTGAGGAGAGCTGTGATATGAAGGATCTGATATCAGCAGTGGGGAAACAGATGTTGGGTTGTGATTGCAAGGGGGACTGTGATGTGATGGGGGGGGGGGTCTGAGGACATTAATTAGGGGCTGTGATATGAAAGACTTGAGTAATAGAAGAAAAATGAGATTTGGACCTCTGCAGGAAGAAAATATTACCAACCGGACCTCCTTGAATTTCAATTCAGTACCCCTGATTTTTACCATGCCAGCAAAACATTTTGCAAGACTCAAAGATAGATTCATATTATTACGGGAATGAAAAGTATCAATGAACACCCCACCTGGAAGAAAAGTGCAAAGCTCGCATGGCACATTCCACCACGTGATAAGGCTCATTCTTTATCCTCCAATAGAATGAGGCCATGTTATACAGCACCCAGGAAGTTGTATTCTGCAAAAAACAAAAAAAAACTCAGCTCAGTTAAAAACACTAGCAATGCGAAAAATAAGGATTTTGGAAATTTTCTTGCAGTACATCACAGGACACAGGGCTCTTCAAATTCATGAGCACTTGGGTTACTGATACCACATTCAGATGAATGGATTCTGGCCAATGGCGGCGGCAGTACCCTCTCAGGAATAACCCCTCAGCTCAGATATGCCTCAGTTTTGTAAAAAATAAAGAGCAAGAGTAACACAGACAATTCCCTAATCATACACTCACAAGTTTCTTATTCATGACTATCTGGAATACCCAAAAGCACTGGGACATGAGGATTAGGCAACACAGCAACAAAGTGAAACCTAAAAACTGAAGAGGGGAGAACTCCACTTAGAAGGCATCTGTAAGACCTTTCAACCAAAACTGGCATCTGCAGAGGCGTGAACATCAACCTGGTAGAACTTAGGAATCGTGAGAAGATCAGGTAGCAGGCTAACAAACAGAAGGTTGTTGCTGAATAGTCCAGGAAACAATGACAAACTAGAAGTGGCAATCACGTGGCAGAAAAACTCCTGATTAAAATAACTGGACACCGCACACTGCAGACCAGTGGTCTGCGACTTCCTGAGTCCAGACGACCCTGAAAGCCATTAGATGTCACCCCTTCCATGCATGTGGGGGAGTCCCTTCACCGTGAAGAGGACATGCTTTCAGAACCGGAGGACTAAGGTGTCAAGTTCTTCTTATGGAACTGGGACAGACTTCTGCTTAGGGCCCGAGGTTCGCTGCTTACAAAAGGAGCTCCTCTTAGATTCCAAAAGGTAGCACTGGTTTCTGACCTGTCACAGTCTTCTTCTTAAGGGGTAAAAAATCAAGCTCTTTCCCACAGTAATCTTATGGAGGCATCCAAGGAGGTCCAAACAAACATAGGCCCTCGAAGGGAAGGCTTTTGAATGGTTTCTTGCATATTAGACTGACCAGCACTTCAGTCAAAGGATCCTTCTCATGTGTGACAGACATGGCGACCAACCGGAAAGCTGCCTTATGGAGCCTTCCAAGACATCCAGAGAAACTGAAGGCTTTTGGAAAATTCCCTGGGTCCAATTCTCTGGAAAAGAGCATACAATTTGTCCAAAACTTTGAGGGATTGAAAAACTCAATCATTGCAGGCTCCAGAGCTGTTCCTACCAGAGAAATGGATTCCTTAACCACTTCAGCTCCTGACACATACCCGTACGTCTCTGGAGTTTGAGCAGTTATACCGGAATGATCCCGGTACTGTTTATTAGAGCAAACGATAGACTCAAGCAGCGAGGGTCTGAATCGACCAGCCGGAGCTTCCGCCAGTTGATAAGAGCCGAACAAAGACCAGATCAGCTTTGTTGGGCTCCAAGATATAGTAACCCAGAAGCGTTGACCTTACATCACTTCCAGTTTACTCAGAAACAGACGGCGCCATTTAAAAAAAAAAAAAGAAAAGCATTTAAATCACACCGATCTTAGTGTGATTAAATGCTTTTAAGAGCAGAAGAGGGATTTGGGGACTTATTGACCATAAATCTCTTCATAAAAGAGCACCTGCCATATGCCTATTACGGTTACAAGGTATGTTTGCATTCCTTGTGACAATAAAAGTGATCAAAATTTTTTTAAAGTGACAGTGTAAAAAAAAAAAAAAAAAAAAAAAATTAAATTAAAAAATTAATGTGCCCCCATCCCTCCATGCTTGTGCACAAAGCGAATGCATGTGTTGGTCCCGCATGCACTCAAGCAGCTATCGTCCCACACGTGAGGCACCATTGTGAATGTCAGATCATGGGCAGTAATTCTAGCATCAGACCCCCTCTTGTAAACCTAATGTGGTAACCTGGAAAGTCTTTTAAAATGTCTCCTATGGTTAGTAAAATGTATGCTTCCTGCCCATTGCATGGGCGTGTGCAATTTTAAAGCGTGACGTTTGGTATCTATTTACTCCGCATAATCTTTTATATTTCACCAAAAAATTGCATTATGTGTGTTTTTTTGCATAAAATTCAAAAGTGTATTCCCCCTGAAAAAATTTTTTTTTTAAAAAAACCGCTGCCCAAATACCGTGTGACAAATTGCAAAACCCACCAATTATTTTTCTTTAGGGCCTCAGATTTAAAAAAAGCTTAAAAAAAACAAAAAAAAAAAAAACAAAACGTTTTTTTTTACATTTTAAAATCAGCATCTTCTTTTTTGCTGGAAAAAGTCTTAGAACCCACAAAGTGCCAGAAAAGGTTTGGGGGTCAAGTGGTTAAAGAGGCCCTGTAACCTCTCATCCATGGCGTCTTATGTCTGAGAGCTTGTCCACCTGACCGTTAGGGTGTTATTCTGTAGGAAATAGCCAGAGCCCCATTTATTGTAGATTCCACCTTCATGGGGTACTGAGGGAATCACTTTGGAGTTAAAAAACACCATCTGCTTTTTTGGCCAATCTCCACTTCCCTGAAGAAGACAGAATAACCCGAATAGTCATGAACAGCCCTGTATTCTGTGATAAACAAATAAATTGGATTTCTATGCTCACCTTAAAAAAAAAAAAAATCCTTTTCATGGACTCCTTTGAGGGGGTTCCGGAAGTCTTTCGGGTTATACTATCATCTACAAGAGGATTGGGCACATTGTTTACCAGTATCCAAACCTCCTGTAGGCGGAAAAGCCTGAAGGGCAAAAAAACTTCCTGTCCCCCTCAATAGATGAGAAAGAAATCCATTTTACACTGCTAGATAATACGCATTGTTGACAGCATGCTCTTGTACATACTGGACAATAGAAATTACAGGTTAATTGAAAATATTCTAACTTGACGAACTGTTAAAGAGGACCTCCCCTCAAACATTACCTCCAACATGGGAACATGGAGGGGAGCAGTACAAGATCCTAAATCAATGTTTTATTAATGTCTATTGTATACTGTTACACATGTAACCTACTGTATTCTTGTTGCAAATGCAAGGAAAATTGAAAGTAAAATCCATTTTACAAAAGTATATTGATTGCCGTGAAACCTTTAAAAATATATCTTTGCTAGGTACTGCTATGGAGAATGAGAATTCAGTACCTCCAGATTGAAATACGAGGGGCATTCAAGTCAAAAAACGGGACTTTTGAGTTTATATAACTAAAGAACAAATTTCAAGCAGTGGAAACTGAATTTATTTTTACATACTCCCCTGCTACATTTATACCTTTATCCCAGTGTGTAATACCTGGAAAGCCTCGGCACAGAAAGATTTGTCAGTACATCTGAACCATCCTAGGACAGCCAGATTCACTTTGTCAGTGCTGAAAAGCCGATTCTTCTTTTGTGCAATTTCACGATAGGTTATGCGTTGATTATCGAGGATCAGGTGTTCCACGCGCTGAATGTTCACAGGAATGGCTGCTGTGGGCTGGGAACCACCACGCCCGGGATCATCACTAATGGACATACGGCCATCTTTGATACATTTACACCATTCCAAAGTCTTCCTGAGGCTGAGCGTCTCATCACCGTACTGTCTTCTGCAGATATCTGCAGGTTTTATGCCTTCATTCACAAAAAACTTCATCCCCACACGCTGTTCCATGTACACACCAACACGGTTGGCTGCCATCTAGATGAATGGTCTCTGGACTGGCCCGAGACATGTGCGCTGCCTATCAGTAATAGGGCACAATTGCCACTTATTACTACGCGTAGTACAGCCATGCTAGCATCCCTTTTTATACCTGTAAAATGAAAAGTCCTGGTTTGACTTGAACGCCCCTTGAACTTCTCTAGGAAGCTTCCATTTAATTCCTGAAGCATGCTTGACCCAAGTCTAAAATCAACAGCTGCCCGACAACTCAGTGTCTGTGCTCTGGGTAGTAAAGAATGTAAAGATTTATGACTTTGTGTCAGTCTACTCTACTCACATCACAGCTTCAAAGACGCACCACTCCCCCTCCTCATATTCCTTCGTGTACATTCAATTTGTTGTAATAATACTTAAATGCATTTCATGCAACAGCACTTAGAGTTACTTGCAGCACCTAGAGCTCCAAAGGCGGCCTACTTGTGCAGACACACAGGACCTACATCAGCCGTTCTCAACAGGGTCTCTCCTGGGGTCACTGGTGTTCCTTGAGCAGAGAGCAATACTGAACGGATATCCTATCTACACTAACAAGGCATGGGGGGCACTTCGACACCGAATAATATTGGTAAGCAATGCTATACATTTTTTTGTTTTCTTTTGTTTGTGTTTGTCTTATTATTTTAAAAGTGGTATTAAACCAAAAATGCAATATTTTGCAGCTTACTACTCAATAGATGTGGTGGCTGCATTAGTTTTCTTTTCTAGGCTTTTTTCACCTGGTGATCTGGCCAGTAACACCTGTATTAGAGCGACTCCACTCTGGATGAAAAAGAGAAACAGACAAGCATTGCTAGTCTAAGGGGAGGGGAGTGTTAGATGTATTAACAACTGTAATTACACTAAACGAGTTGAAACCAAATTCCAGCTCACACTTATTAAAAGCAGTTTCTCACCCTAGGAATAAAATGAAAAGTCAGCAGCTATAAATACTGTACTTGCTGACTTAATAAAAAGAAACTTACTGTACCTGTCCAAAGATTCAGCACCATCCTCCCTTGAGCTAGTTCTTCACTAGTCTTTGGGTTCACGGTGCCCACCATGTTAACTGGGCAGTTGGTTGTGATTCGTTGTGGCTTCACAGCTGGCTGGCCAGTGCTCATGCATGAGCCACGCTTTGTAAATGGTCCCACAGCCTTCTGGGACCTGTGACGTCTCAGAAGGTTGCGGGTAGGGAGAGGGGGAGGAGAATGTCAGGTAATGGCCACGATGGATGTGGGAGCAAGTATCTGTCAAAACCAGGTATCCACTCCCAACCCCCCAGAATGTTGCAGGTAGGGAGTGGGGGGGGGGGGGGGGGGGGAGAATGGGAATGTCCAGTGAACCGCCGCGGCGGACGTGGGAGCAAGTATCTGTCAAAACCAGGTATCCACTCT